CTCAATGGACTTCATAATTAAATGCATCTTTTTCTCAAAAAATGATATTTTTTTCCTGTACGTTTGCAACAAAACTTGCATTCTTCTCTACTGTAGATCATCAAATGGTTGCATTCAGTTCCTAAATGGCAAGGTAACTTTTCCCTAATTTGATGCATTTTTAAAATGGAGATTTAATATTTTTGTTATATTTTGCTTCAAAAGGAACAATTTAAAACAGAGAAGCATGTATAGTTTAAACACTGTTTAAACTGTGAACTGTGTAGAATTGAACTCTAAAAACTTTGTGAGAAAACAAAAGATCACTAGCTACAGTAGCGTAGAACTCTGTGAAGAAAACAGAAGGACAATGCAGCAGAGTGTCTTTGCATGGCACTAACTTAGACATGATGGATTTATATATTTAGAGACATGTTTTATTGTTCTTTCATGAGATAAAATATTACCTAATAAAAACTTATACTATTCTGTATTAATAGGCAAGAACAGTATAGATGCTGTTGGTCACTACCCCAAGCAGGTCACAGCATATGTGACAGTGAGAAGAGCCCTCTGTGGAACAAAAGTGATAAGGATATAAGGGGAAAGGAATTGCTGAACACTCGGTGAAGCAGACACGCTCAGCTTCTTTCTGCTGAAATATGAGTGTTTCTATGCACATAGCCGGCCTGTTTTTCACCTCCTTTTGACAATGCACAGATATCTACGTGTATTTAATTTTTTTTTATTTTTAAAATTGTTGATCACTTCTCTCCTGATATCTCTCTTTATACACCAGTCACAGTGGGTTTTTTTTGTATGCGACATAAGAAAACACATGATATAAACAGCTTGCTTGTTTATTAGGCTTTATTAAAACACTGTATTTTAGTATGATGTGATCCCCCAATTTTTGTCATTTAGTGAAGTATTTCCTGGATCCTCAAAGATCCAAACTTCATGAAAATTTGACTTCCAGCTGCACAGGTACCTCAGCTTATATTTTGCATGTAGAAATAAGAACCTGCAGAACCCACTAAGAATTGACTATAACAGGGCTGGAATCAAACCATCTCCTCTCCCTTCCTATGTCATAAAGTTCTGCCATTTATAAAATCACATATATGTTCTGCACTAAGTGAAAGTGCAGAAATAGGTGGGCTTCTAGGAAAACTTCTCAGCAAGTCCTAGAGACGGTGGCTGACAGCCTTAGTGAGCAGCATAACTTCAGAGCAATCCTTGGTTTCATTCATGTCAGGGATTTGAAACAAAGGTGGTTTTGAAACTTTAATGAAGGATGATGGTTATAAACTTTACAGCACAGGAGAGAATTTGATACAGATCTTATGCAACTGAGATCCATCCTTTATAAACAATAGTGTTGTGTATTTGGGATACGCTTACTACTGGTCTTGCAAAGAAGATGACTTTTCTTGTGACTTGAGAATAAAGGAGAGAAAATGTATACAGTATATGCAAACACTGTGATTTTTTAAATATTTATTTACATTTTAGTATGCTGTATATTAATGTCTTTTAAGTCAGATAGAAAAAAGTCAAATGTAAATATAAGGTTTTGAACTTGCCTTGATTTTTTTTTAGATGGGCAACATGTTCAAGAGTTCTTGTAGGGAGTGGTACTTGTATAGTGACACCTGAATACCCTATGCCTTAGCTCCACTGCAGTTCTGACTTGCCGTAGATGTTTTTGATTCTTAGACAAAGCAGTATAAATAAACATATTGCTGCAAACAGCTTCCATTAGAACAAAAGGGACGCTTCATTATTATCTCAGATTCTTCGAACAGTGAAATAAATCCTTTGTGTACCTCAACAGTGAGTTTGTCAGGACAGTTCAAGAAAGATAACAAATGCTTCCAAACACATTTCCACCTAGACACAGTCAGCTAAAAGGACAGATACTCACTGTGCAGATGAAAAAGGAAGATGCACTAGAGGACAAGACAGAAATAAAAACCTTATCATTGTTGTAGGTAGATGATAAGATCTGAAGAAAAAAGTCTGTCTGTCGTAATCATCCTAATTTTTCTGCCACAAAGGGAGAAAAAAAAGCACAAGAGTTATGTGCACATGAAAGTTCTAAAGTATCTTGATTATCTTAATATCTTAGGGAAGACTTTCTTCTTTTAATTAAGGTGCATATATATCATTGCTTTTTATCCTCAAATTAGGAACGCTTGTTCTTGATGCTTAACTATAGCCAAATTTTATGTCCACATTTATAATCTATTGCTCTTGTTACATTATTCAAATACTGCATTACGACAACACAATAAGGAAATACATTTAACTAAATCCCACTGTGCCTAAATGTTTATGCAAATTTACCCTGTGGCAAATTTCCAGACTATAGTATCACTCATGACCGCATTTTAGACACCAATATTAGTTTGCGCCAAAACCTGCCTCCAGCAAGTAACATTCTGAAATTTTTTGTGCTTAGAGGCACAGTTGATGAGTCATATGTCTTGAAGAATTCTAAATAAAACCCAACACTTCATGCTTATCACACCCACTCAAGCAGATACCTCAGTTAAAGTTACGTGGATACGTACAAAATGGGAGCTGGTAGAAAATACTGCAGATTAAAAGTGATATGATAGGTAAGAAAAAATACGTTAAGCTCTAAATTCTGGAAAGAACATAGCAATGGAGGGAGTAGCTGTACTTCAACAAGTTCAGCTTTTAAGCTTCCAGTTTTGAGCTGAGACGTAATTTAAATTATTCATTTGTGTAATCTGACGTGGATGCCTCTTCCCTTTTAAACAACAACCTGGTTGTTACAAACTTCCTGGCCAAAACCAAAGTTGCAGGCATTATAATGAATTCTGTGAATGATCACTGCTTGAAATCACTGAGAGGATGAAGAATCAGTGTCTGTAAACATAAAAATACAGGAAGTTATCATTCTGAGCTGAACAAAATCACTCTGTCACAGCTCACCAGAAAGACATTGTGAACACAATGGAAAGCAAACACAGTGCAGTTGGTCCTGAATTGCCATGCAGTCCTTCTCCCCTGGTGGTGAGTGACTTGCTGGGGGAGCACTTAACAGGAGGAACTTGGCTGAAGAACAGCGGAGAGAAGAATGATCTGCAGATAACCAGAGTGCATTTTTTGTTTTGTTTATCTATTAATATTTCTTTAAAGGAACAGCAAATGCTTTACAATATTGACTTAAAATCTGAAGGAATGATACTAATATATAATAATAAATCCTTAAATCTTCATGAACTCCCATGTTTTATGCTACAGTACAGTTAGTTGGTGTCATACTTGCATGGAAAGCCCCTGTGATGCTGTGTTCACTTATTTGGTTTATTTAAGAAATTTCCTGCATGGAGAATACATAACTTTCGTTATCAGTTACCTAGGAGCTCCTTTCATCAGCTTCTGTTTGCAAAGGGATGTGTTATGCCTTTGTGCTCCACTGCTTTGGTCATGGTTGCTGCTAAAATGGCAATCATTAGCTAAGCAGTCCCTCTTAACAAAGGAATATCTAAAAACTTTCTAAGGTTGATTTCCCATTAAAGGAGCTATGATAGTTTACATCAGCTCACGATCTCACTCTGAAGCACAGCAGATTTCCTCAAACCTCTCCATTTCAAGGGCAGAAAGGCTACTTAGTTATGTTAAAGTTGCATGCCAAGTTAACATGAATTTGGAAGCACTTCAAAGAATGAACTAAGGTACAAAGTAAATTGAAAGCAGTATTTGCTTATCCAACCTGAAGACAGAAGGAATCAACAGGAGACAGGAAAGTAGGGTAAAAAGTTATTCAGCCAAAACATTTGAATTTAATACTACTTAATCCTAGTAAAAACTTGATTCACTAGCATCAATTTAGACTGGCTAGAAAATTAAAAATTGATTATCCAAACATCAGTCAAACCATTTTTTAAAAAAAAATTATCAAAAGACTCCATATATTTTGGGAAGATTTTAAAGGAGAAATTAGTTCTGCATCTTTTCCTGTGCTTTTTACTGCTTGTATATGTCATATTTTTTCTATACTATTATATCATGACAGTTCAAACTACAGCTAGGAAAAACAAGGCTATGAGAGCATATCCACAGGCAGCTGTGCTCTCCCTCAATTGTGTTGTTCATGAGAAGCAGAAGAGGAACAGATCTTTTATGGGCCTATTTGACTGTCTGACTGCTCTTGCTCCAAAGCCTACAATTGGTATAATGTTTTTGGCCGACACACAGCCCTGTCTGCTTGTGTATTATATCAACATTTTCTTTGCAAGGAAAGAGACAGGAACTGAGAAAGTCTGGACATGTAGCCAGGCCATGGCCATTGAGTTCTTTGCTGGAGAGTGCAGCAAGGCTGCCTATAAACACTGCTTCTCTTACTGCAGTGTTTCAAATGATCAGGACTGGTTTGCCTTTTGTTAAGACTAAATCAATCAAATACTTGAGACATGCAGCCAAGATTGCCTGAAATTCAAAAGGAAAAAGAAAAACCAAAAATGCAAAATAAAGCAGAAAACCCACCTGTACAGCACTGTCTATTTTTAAAAGCTAACAGTATTTTCTATTTCTCTCTAAATGTCTAGGACTGAACCCTAAAAGCAATTAAAAGGGAAACGCTATTCTCTCATTTCAAAACAATCACTGTAACAGAATATTCTGCTAAATTATCTCTTATGTTCACAGCCTTTCTGCTTGAAAATCTGTACTCAATTTTTTCCAGTAGGAAAATATTGAAATCAGTTGGTAACATACATGAAATAATTCCATTCCAACAGTTATGGAATGACAGTCTCTCAAAAATAAAGAGAAATCAAAGGTTGGTGCAACCAAATATTGTTCAGTTTTTCAATTAACATTTGATTTACTATTAGGCCTGGCTTTCAGCATAGCTAAAAATCTTTGAGAAAATTGTTGGCAACAGATTAGCTTTACTTATTCACTGCCTGAAATATTTTCTTTTCAAAACTCTATATTTTCCTACCAATTATTCTTCTACAACTAAAAAAAAAAACCAAACCAACCTTATTTCAAGATAGTTGATAACAGATAACATCTGATCATCATCTCCATATTGCTTTATCCACCAGTTTTTAATCCCCTCAGGAAAATTCCTACTTACCTAAGCAATTAAAGAGAGTAAAAAATTAATGCACTCTATACATTGTAAAGCATTTAAGAATATTATATGTGAACACACTGAAAAAAAAGAGCACGAGAAGCCAGGTGTCTCAAATAATGCAATTAAGCATTTACTTATTGCTTCTGCTTTCTTCTTCTCTATTAGTATTTTAGTATTACTACAGCTCCTACAGTTTCCATCACACAAATATAATTCTAATTTCATAGGTTGATAAGAGCATAGTGGAAAAGTGATAAAGTGATTTCCCTCTCCTTGACCTCATCAATAATAAGGAAGGGAGTTTAGTTGGCAAAGGAATACCTGTGCATAAAACAGGAAATTGTGGCATACAGTTTTTGTGGGCACTACTTCAATACTCATATGGTTAAATGGACTTGGAGCCTGAGTTGCTTGTGCTGTGAGCAAAAATAAAAAAGTATCAAACCACTAGCACATTGTACATGGTTTGTCTTCAGGAGTGCTTCAGTAATGTAGAAAGATGTAAAAGTACAATGTCATCATCAACCCTCAATTAAAGCCACACAGCTCAGACACTAGGGATTTATCCAAACACATCCAATGTTATTTTCAGGACATCTATGGATTGTAGTGGTGTATTGTCATGATTTCTGCATCTAAGAATGCTCAGCCATATAGTTACTGGCATGCATACAACGTACCTGCAGAGAAGCATCTGGATCCACTTCAGAATTTGGAACTTCATAACACTCAGAGCCTGAACTTTGTCATTTCTGAATTAAGATAATAATTAAACATTGTGCCTTGGGATGGAAAATTCACTCCCTTCATCTTCTTCAGCCACTGAATTTGGTTTGGTAATATGAAAGAGATAAAATGGTGCATTAATTCCTTACAGTATTATTTCCATACCATGACATTAGTATGACATGCACCTACAATGCATATAAAAAACAGACTTGCAAATAAATATTATTTTTAATTACATATATGAGTAGACTGTTATGAGATACCCGAGAATATCTTAGCAATATTTTAGTATTACTGCTATTTGAGGCTTAATTGAGGCCTCCTCCTGGTATCATTGCATACTGGGTGTAGGTGGAAAGGTGTGGGCAGCAGGGTGGTGGAACTGCAGGTGTAGGCAGAGGTCAGGAATGTCCCATGCCAGGCATATGCAGTTCCAGCTGGCTCCAACAGCCCCATCATGGGACACCAGCCACACTGGAGGCACTTCTGGGAAACTGTATTTAAAAAGAGCAGAAAGAGTGAGAAATAACAGAATACAAAGGTCAGAGGAAGAGAAGGTTCTCCATGTTGCTCTAACAGATTCCACACTGCAGTCCACAGAGGATCCCCAGCAGAAGCAAGTAAGATATTTCTTGAAGGAACTGCAGACTGTGCAGAGCCCTTTTTGGAGCTGAGGAGAACTGTGAGAGGGGAGGAGCAGTAGATAGAAACCACAGTGTACTAACCATTAGCCCCATCTACCAACAGTGGTCAGAAAGGAAAGCCAAGAATAAGGCTGAGCTTGGAGGAGGACAGTGAGAAAAGAAAGGTATTTTAGTTGTCTTTGCTTCTCACTACTTGAATTGAGATTCATTGGAGAAAACTAGAATATTTTTTTCCCAATCAAATCTGTTTTTCCATGACTGTAATGGATAAGCAATCTTCCTATCTTCATCTAACCCACATGATTTTTCACCCTATTTTCTCTCCTAACCCACAGAGGAGTGAACAATCAACTGGTGAGTGTTTCACTCTTTGTCAAGGCTAACCAATCACACATCCAGACCAAATATTTTATCACCTATAACTTCTAAATCAAGTTTAAATTTAGATATGTAATTCTGTGTTTAAATTTAGATATGACAAGGCCTTCCTGATTAAGTCCACAGATCAGCAAGGCCTTTTGAAGAATAAGAAAACAGATTTTAATGACCAGAAAGATCTTCCATGTCTGTTAATGCAGTAAAGGATTGTTCCTGTTTCAACCTGCATATGTTGCTCTCCCTTACCTTTGGATGATGTACACATAAATTGGTTCTTAACAAGAGCTCTACATTTCTGTAAGCACTTATGTGTACTTAAGATGCCAATTGTATTTTTGCTAGTTTTAAATAGGCAAGTATGGCTAGATATTTATCTGTAAAAAAAAGCCAACAAAACTAACCAAAACACTGGCAAGTGATTGCAGAGGTTTGGAAATTTCTTATTCAAACCTTTTTTGGCATCAAAACGAAAGATCTTATGAAGGGGAATGCATTTGAATGCTTCACTTATATTTACATTTCCTACTATAAAAACAACAGGCAGTATTACACATACATCTGACCCTTTATGAGTTTTACTTCTGGTAAGCATGACCTTCATATTACTTTTTGTTTCTTAGGTCTTTAATATAAATAAAAATCTAAAATTGGTAACTGGTAACACTTCTCCAAGCAAACACGCCTACTCCATGCATGATGAGTGAGGCTGCACACAGCCTTGTGCTGTAGGCAGCCTTTTACCATTCAGCTGAATTAGCTCATTTACAGATAAACTCTGATCACTAAAGTACACAGTACTACAGGCCAAACAATTCAGTTACGTGAGTCATTGTTTGGCACCCTCATCAGTAATTAGTGGGTAGAAACCTGCATATGCATACGTGTATATATCTATGCATATATGTAGGGACACATGTATAGATGTTTCTCAAGGACAAGTGACAACTGTGATCATTTTTGCTAACTTACCTGAGCCTTAAGCAGCACCCCAACAAATACCCAAATACACAAACAAACACAAAATGCAACTCACAGAGCCCTCTGAGGCAGTCCATTGGCACATTTTCAGGGGCCAGCAAACAATAAAGCAGAGAACAGAGAGTGTGCAGCAAATAAATAGTAAAAAAAGTGACTTGTGAGTCTTTCTCCTTAGGGAGGTGACAGTGACCTCAAGAAGCTATTTAAATTCTTAAGTCCTTCTAAGTTCTATTCTTTATTAAAGTTTAATAATTTACAGCCTCATTATCAGTGTAGAAGAGTAACTAACACTAGTGAATTTAATGAGCACTTCATTAGATAGACAGAATGGCTGCACAGAAAGTTGAAATGGCTGATCCCCACATATTTTAAGACTGAAGCAAGATAAAGTCAGATATCAGTGAAGTATATCCAATGCCGTAATCACACTACATTTCCACTTGTTACTGTGGACCTCTAAAACATGACACTTCTGAACCCCTGTGTATCTCCAGAGAAAGTGTCCAGCTGATTTTGTCTTGCATACATTTCAGATTCAATAATTTTAAGCATTTTTATTCTGCATAAGACCACATGCTCAGTGGATGTTTCAGAAATACTGCTGCTTAAAAATAAGTCACTTTAAGTCTAATGCCTACCTGTACCATACTATGATCAGAAATAGGATAAACAGTTTTGAAGTTTGTTCTGAGTTGTTCTAAGGAGGCACATCTTCACCAAAGACAGTCAACTTAGCCTTTTAGGACTGTTTTCACCTTGTTTCTATCCAGCTGCCAAAGTACCTGCAAGACAAATTGGAATGCAGCCATTTTCTCATGAGCAAGAATTTGAAAAAAAAAATTAAAATTGTTTTTTAACTTCTGAAAATTATTTGTGATTGTCTTAAGTGCATTGCACATCCAGTGTAGAAGTTTGCAAGTGACACACAAGTGCCACCAGAATTACAACTTTTGTTTGTTCATGTGAATGTCACCATGCTGCTGCATTTCTGAGGGCTGTTTTGACAGCTTAGTACACTGGCGTATGGTTATACCTGTTTTCCTTGACTGCATCTGTTGTTATGGGGAGAGCAGGGAGTAGGTCCCAAATGATAGTTTGCTCCCGCTTTCAGAGGGCTGATCTATCAGAAAGCTGGTGACAGCAAGGATCCTATATTTATTGTGTTGCTTTAGAGCAAGCTACTTAAAATACCAGTGTGTAAATTGTGCATAAAGCTGAAGATTATGTGACACCCAAGTTCAACATGACTGGCATAGCAGATATCTACAACAGTATATATAAAACCAGGCTGTCTGGAAAGTCTGGTGCTGTATAATTGAAGACAAAAAAAAGTAATTCTTCTCATCTTCTAGTTTCTGTTCCAACCAAGGCCTAAAGTCCATTTTAATTATGTTAACTATAACATATGCTTTGGGTCAGCAGACACATTCCTAACTGCCCATATTCTAAAGGATTAGGTGCTCTAACCCCTACTCATGCTCAATCAGTATCAGTCAAACACCACCTGAACCAATTATTCACTCACTCACGGTTGTCCTGTTTGACAGTTTGTTGCCTACTGTTTCCACCTCTACACTCTGTTTGCCTTGAGATCATATTGCCACTCCATGTCCACACCAGTCCTCTGATCCTCATCACCCCAGGTGGGCAGCTTGAAGCAACACAAGGTGCTTAATTAAATTCTCCCACTGACAAGACTTCTGTGGGAAATACATGCACTGAAGGCTTCTCCGTTCGTCCTGACACACTACTCTAATACGGATAGCTAGAAATGAAGTGTTGGTGACATATTGGAATGCTGAAAATTTAAATTTTGACATGAAACTGCAGTAATTCTGCTTGAAAATAAAAACTCTGATTGAAAAATATTAGCTATTCTCTTTTTACTAAAGTTTGCACAACTGTTCTGTATCAGCTCAGCAAAATGAGAGGAAAAGATCATACTGAACTGCTTAAAATTAGTGCATTATGCTTTTAACAATTAAATTCCATTTTAAACATGGGAACTCATGTTCTTAAAAGAAAAAAAATGTTTTTTACAATTAATTTGCATAAAGAACACGTGTAAAATAAGTTAAAAGAGCAGTACTGTGATCCAATGGAGTAAGAGGAACAGAGAGTCTAAGTGGTATAAACTGCAGTGTTCTCAACATCAAAGATGGCAGCTGCTATTAAAATGCAGATAGAGAAAGTCACCATGTCTAGATGGAAATAGGCTCTCAAAAGAAGAAAACAGTAGAATGGGCAAAGATTTAACCATTACCTAAAAGTTACATTCAGATTTTAGATTTGAATTTCATTACATTACTGCATTTGGAACAGCCAAAAACATTGATTTAGCTGTGTAGGACATAAGAAGTCTGTTGTTTCTTAAAATGAATAACTTAGGTTTCCTAGTGCCAGCCTTCCCTGCTACAGTGACATGAATACTTAATTCACAAAGTTTTAAATCTGTTTTGAAAGGCTTTCCAAATGCCAGTTTCAACAATCTTATGATTGACATCTTGAATTACATCAACTCATACACTAGGAGGCACAATCAGCCTTACAGTAAACGTAGGACTCTTGAAGCCTTTTAGGCTTGACAGTGGCTTAATCAGATGCCAAAACATCACATTGCAATAATGAAAACCAAGGAAATGAAAGGACTGCACACAGAAAAACTGTCTCCAGAAAAAATAAAACGGAAAACGTGAAAACAGAGAGAAAGATAGTGCTTCCAAATTGCTCACCTTGATATCATCATTATCATTATTGAATGACTTAATCCACATTTGATTTATATTCCTGTCCAAAACTAATTGGAAAACCATTTTGGCCCCTCACAGATAGCTTTAGTTTGTTCTCTGTAGAGAAGACAGTAGACCTGTAAATAGTGTTTCAAGAGAATCACAAATTTTAGTAGGGTAAAGCAATTAAAACTTCAGTCTTAATTTATCACTTAAAGAAGATTTTGTGGCATATCAAAACCATGCTTTGCTTTTTAGATTGTCAGTGTAAAACAAAAATAGATTTATTGAACACTTGATGCAGAAAAACAACTACATTTTATACAGTAAGAGTCTATTCCTGTGTGTCAATGGTCTTAGCGATATGGGGAGCTATGAAAGGTTCCTTGGTTCTGAAGAGAAAATAATTCACCCTCTAAGGCAGTTGAATCAGCATCATTAAGTTCTGTACTTTTCTGCTATTAGCATCATGTCCTGCCTCCAGTGTTTCCGCAAGTACCAGTGCTGTGCATTCACATCAAATTGCATACATTGGGGAAAAAAAAAAAAAAAAAAAAAAAAAAGCCACACAAGGATTCAGTCTCTAACACCTTATCTGAATTCCAGCATTGCCTATTTTCAACAGAGAGCCGTGCCTCCAGGAGCAGAGGTTTCAAGTATGAAGAATGTGCACTGCTTACTATCTTTCCATTCTTGGGTTGCATGGTTTATAAAACCGAACAGCTCACAGGCTGTCAGAGCTTTTGGATTGAGGTCATTCCAATTTGATTTTTGTTTCATGCTCATATAGTATGTAAAGAGAAGGGACAGGCTGCATATTAGTATAAATTTAGAGACAGTAGGAATCTTTGATTTTCTCTCTAAACTGGATCTCTGCAGATCTCCACACTCAGACAAATCTTCACCTTGTTGTACTCCAGCTTCTGTGCGAGTATAGCACAAATTTCCACTGAGCCTAATGACTCAAAGGGAGAATCTCATTCCAACACAGCTCCACTCCATAGTTAATATTCTCTAATATAAAATATTGAAAGGGAAAATAAAAACACAGACCTGCCAATGTTTAGTAGCACAAACAGGCAAGCACTATCTATTCAAGATCTTTACGTAGTGGTTTGGCAATATATTATTTTATTTCTTTCTAGAAGACTAAATCATGCTTCTCCTTCTAAAAAAAAATTACTTAGTCTATCTGTCAAATATCCTGTTCGTTACTTGCTGTCATGATTAATTTTCCTTTGGGACATGCAAACAATGTAGAAAAGTGTACAATTTTCTTGTAATGCTTGAATATTGCCATCGCACATCACACGGCTGACTGGATGGCCTGAACAGCATGCTATCATACAGCAGCCTACGGCAAAGGCAATGCATCAAGCAGAATGTTTTCTGCAAGAACCATGAGAATTTCTTTGCAATTGAAATGAGATTGAAAACACTGTGCAGGTAGGCAGACACCTCGCTCTTTCCAGTGCATGCATTGCCAACCACAAACACAGTGGTGCACTACCATTAGCTTCTCCAGCTGAATGACCTATCACACAATTGCAATATGTAGCCAGAACATTTGCTCTGCTGCTGTCCTCTTGCCAAAGGGAGGCACATACACACAAAAAAGTTATCTTCCCATTTCTCTTTCCTTTCCTCTTTAGTAAGAAATGCCTTCACAACAGACTTACCTTTGTGGAGCCAGTGTTGCATCAAGCAACATCATTTGTTTCCCAGAGAATGAGAGGAGCACTGGCTTATTTTAATGAATGAGTGAGAACAACTCTTATCATTGTGCTATATAACTATACACCTATAAGAACAGTGTCAACCAAGGATATAGAAGAGCTATCACAAGTTTGCCATCACTTTAGAGGATCACAATTCCACAATTAAACAATTTTGCATATACAATTTGGTAAAATACAGTATTGGTCCACTAAAGGAATATATTTCTTCCAAAGAACTAGTTCTGTGAGAAAAAGAATGGAAAGAGCTTGACTGATTATAGATTTCTGTCTTAGTGAAGAGAATCCATATTGATTTTCTCAAGTCTAATAGGAGCAAGTTCATATTCCTCAGTGGTCATCTTCTGATTCACCCAGTTAGCAGGGATCAAAGCAACCTACAGAAGGCTGACTCGAAAGTTCCAAGGTGTAGCTTATTGGTTTTGGTACTTCTGCCAAGATGGTGGAACAAGATAGTCTGGAGCAGAAAATCCTTTATGAATCCTGAGATTAATCACATTAAACATGATTGGTTATTTCAGTTTCCAAAAAAGCTTAATAAAGCAAAGCACTGTGCAATTTTATACTGCAGATGTGGATGGTCTTTGAAGCATGGTGAGAATATACTTTATTAGTAGTCCAAATTTGGTCCATACACCAACTTGTATTTCAATATTACTGTTTTAACTTTTCAATCTGTCTGTAACTCAAGGTATAATTAGTGTTTAAGTTTAGTTTGTAGACAACTAATTTTTATGAGTATGCACATGCATGTATACTCATGCACTCATATCTCACACCCAACGTGCATTGTATTATACAGAAAAACCTGAACAAACATGAAAAAATAACACAGGTAACCCGACATTCTACATCTACAACTTCTTGTACATTTTTTTATTTCCTTAATCTTCATTATTCCCTGTAAATATTCACCAGCTATTACAATGATATCGAGTACAAGAAGTAGGTTCTCTACACAAATAAATATGTTTGCCAGTGGAGACAGCCTTTTTTGAACAGGGCATATTTCTGTACGGGTATACAGTACTGAGGTGCTGTACTGCCATGTCTTTGAAATACCAAGACTTTGAGGACACCTTATCAGTACTGTAACAAACTCAAAAATAACCTTCATGTCTAAAATAGCCCATTTGCAATTATTTTGATTGAAACTCTTAAGGGGAGTAATTAAAGGCAATGAATTATTTTACCTTGAGAATTAAGATCTCTTCAGGCTACAAGTGAAACTCCAGGGTAGACTGTTCAGCCATCTGTTCAAATTGCAGGTTCTTCTTTCTCAGAACATCCAGAACTTGAAACAGGTCATTAGTTAGGCCCATGAAAATTGGGTTATCATCTGTCATCATTTTAGGCAAAGTGAAATCTCTTAAAGCTTGCATAAACACCTGGAAAAGGGTGGCAAACATGGATCACAAGAGCATTAAACCATTCTCCTCTTAGGATTTTATTTTTATTCCAAGACAAAACATCAGGAACGGCTACTCCTGCACCTTCCTAGCGAAGGTTGCATCTGGTCCTCAGGTCTGTTCTTGTCTTCTCTTTTCAGTGAACCAGCAGCTGTCAGAACTGACAAAGACTCCAGTCACAGTGGCACTGGGAAAACATAATGAGTCATGTTAGCATAGAAAAAGAAACCAGGTAGTAAATAATCAGAAGACAATGTTCAATTTACACATGAAGTAACATCTTTTTTTCCCCTTTTTATAGACTTGGGGTCAGCATCATAAGTAAGGCAGAAGTCTAAAAGGTGAAAAATGTATATCTATTTAATTTTTAATACCCCACCTGTATTTTTATATGGCAAAATGTGCACCAGAAGATAAAAGACATAGGATGATACTGTGAGAATGTGATTTCATAAACTTTTGGACCCATTTCAGCTTTGGTTCCTCTGGTGACAACCTTACACTAACAAATACCATTTACAAAAACCAAATAGAGGATGGATGTCAGAAGCAGGCCACACACAGTTCTTCCAGTGATGAAGAAAGATGCAACATATCTCCTTCCTTCTTCAGAGAATATAATAGACTCAGGTTTGAGATGTCAGGGTGCCCTCTCAAAAAATCAGTAGTTTCTTATTTGTCAAGTCCAAGACACTGCTATTACTTCACCATCACAGGAGTAAGGCTGTAGGGTAGGAACTATCATGAAGAGATCACAGAGACCAAGTTTTCCTTCCACGGGAAGCCGTGTTTTTTATTAGAAATTTTCAGCATTTCCCACAGGCTGTATTTAACTAAATTCTTTTACCTCTTCCACTATATTTTCAAATATTATTCATTGCAACTATGTCTCATGATGAACCAAGGCAAGCAGAAAAATTGCTGCCAAACATCTAATTTGACCTGATGTTAGCAATACTTTTTTGCTTTCTGAATAGAAAATTGGGTAGACTAGCAACATATTTTGCATCTAACACCAAAATTAAAGAAGAGACACAGGTAGTTATTCAGCCTAGAAAAGTCTAAAAACATCTGCATGGGAAGTTATAGATTTATATAAGATATATACAGATGTATATAAGTTTCAGATTTCTAAGATATTCTGAATAAAAACAATTCCTTGTATATTTATTTGGGAATGTTTTGTTTCAACTTTAAACAATCCTTCACCATATTCACTGACAAGAGTTTAAACAAACATACATCCAAACATTATATATTGTTTGTTATTCATAACAGCTCCTGATCTCCCTTGAGGTTCTTCCTCTTACTAAGAGGTACCGTTGATTCTAATACAGATACCACACAGTCACAAAAATTAGTTCAGCCATCACACATACTTATCAATGACATACAATTTTTAACACAAAATTAATATGTTACAAATGTACCAAGAACAGAAAAAAATCATTCATTTATTTAAAATTTATATCTGATGATATATAATGAATGATATCCAATATATCTGATGATGATATATGGGATGGATACATGATTTCAAGTGTCTTCAAAATAAAAACACAAGACTGTACACTTAACAAACAAAAGCCACCATCATAATGATTGTACAATGTCCATCTACACTGTTTCCAAGTGAATGTGCTAATTAACATGTAGAAAAACAAGAAGCTCAGAGACCCTCACCTGTTTAGAGAGCAGTTCCCTGTGGAAAGTACGCAAAGTAATAAACTTCCAGGCTAACAGACGTGCATCAATAAACCCTGCAGCAGCCAACATAATTTCATAGGTCAGTTCAATGTCAGGGACAACCATGGCACAGGGGTTAAGGAAGAAAACAAACCCCATAATCCAGATACACAGATTAGTACTTAAACTGGTAAACATAAGTCACTTAAATAAAATGACTGTTGTGTGCAAACATTTTTAAAACACAGCTCCAGAGAGTCACAATTAAGAATGCCAGTCAGAGCTAACAAGGACCTTACTTCAAAGCAAAAGGAGATAATTAGACACTGTTGATTGTCAGCATTCAGTAACATCGCTGTACACAAAGGCGGCAGCTGAGAGATGCAGGGCTTGTAAAACAGGTACCAGGAAACATTGAGCAGGAACATTCAGCTGCAGCATCATTCGCTGCGAATGACTGAAAGGCATCAGCAGGAGTTGTGCAGAGGCTGGAAGTCAATATAATACCCTGTCATATCTGAAATGATCATTAATAAAAGGACTTCACTTTTAAGGGTGGTTAATACTCTTACAAGGTTTTGCCTGCCTTCAGAGGTTTAACTGTTTATTTTTTAAGCATAACCTTTAGTTCAAACTTTAAGAACAAAAACATTTTAATTATATGATTCAAAAGACACCTTTAGGGAAAGTCATTGTCCCTCCAATCTTTGCTAAGACTAAGCTATAGGACTTCAGAGAGGTGACAACCTCCAGGGGGGTGATGGAGTCACCATCCCTGGAGGTGTTCAATAAGTGTGTAGTTGTGGTACTGAGGAACACAGTGGGCATGGTGGTGGTGGTGGATTGACAGTTGGACTGATGATCTTAGAGGTCTTCTTCAACCTTAATGATTATATGATTCCCAGGTTGCTGTAGCAAACATTACTTGCCAGCTCCATCCCTTGTAGTCTAGCTACTGCTGCATCTATGTTGTGGTGTCTTGCATTGTGTTACAGCCTGGGAAGGCTTCCCAAGATTGAAGACTCGAAGGTCATTTGGATAAGGGAGGTTTCTTCTCAGAAAATGAGTAGGGAATGTAACAAGAACAAGCAATCCTTATGTCTGGAGCAGTGCTTTGCCCCATGTTGTGTGTTGTAAAGAGATTACTAATGGCAGACCTTCCAGTAACAGCCTTTACAGATGATTAGGAATTCAAATCTTAACCTCCTTCTTCTAAGCAGATGTTGCTTACTGCTTTTTATAAATTTAGGCTCAAAACCAAGAAAGCTAATTCCTGTTGCTGCCTGGCCCTGCCGTCTGAAGCAGAAAAGCAATGCCACAAAACAAATCTGTACTTGTACTTCTCCAGACAGACTGACAATGCCCTGCAGCTCGCCCCACTGAACTTCACTATGTTGGGAAATAAAATCATAGAATCATACTTTTCTCAAGTCTTTTTTAAAACAGTGAAAAGTGTTAATGCAATCTGCACTAAATCAAAGAGCATCATCACGTAGCTTGATGTGCAACTCCAAAACTTTTTTGGAATAAATCAGTGTTGTTTTCCTGCCCATCACAATGGAAAAACAACTTGTGGAATTTTCTCACTCACAGAGCACCATTTTGATTCACAAGTATAGCATGAAAATATAGTCAGGTTTTTACATTAAAAACTTTCTTCCTTGAAAGATTAGTCTTAGCATATGAAGTATAAATATGTACTGTAAAAAAATGATAATGGGCTGTCCTATAGTGCAGGAAATTGCTTTCTGTGCACCACACTTTTTGAAACTTATATATGTAAAACAAATATCAACTTTTTTTTTTTTTAATCAAGGAATAATATCTCACCTGTGGTCACACAAGACAGGAAACTTGAGGATATTTGTTGCTACTTTGCCTCATTTATAGGCTTGGTTCTTGGATATGTCTATCCCATCTGTGGTTTGTAGCTACCAAGCCAGCCAGGATTGATGGATGCACCTTCTTGAATCACTGATTCTAGAAAAAAAATTCCAGATAAAAATCTTTGTTGCATGTGATGTGAAAAAGCACTGTTTTTTGAATTTTTAATTCAAAAAAAAAAAAAAAAAAGATTTTGCTGAAAAATCCCAATTAACCTTGGTTAATCCACTCACACTCTTCTTCAGATTAACCACTAATTTTATACATTATATTATGCAAGAAATATTTAACCCATTTTTAAAATTAAGAGATATTAAGTTCATATACTACTTAAGTGTGCACACTTACAAGCATACACATGTTCAAAGATCCTTTGTCTCAATAACAGGTCTAAGAAAACCTTATAAAATTCGTATGAGGTATGAAAGAACACTGAGCATTTAATTTTTTATTCACTGAAAGAGAAAAAGCTGACACTGCTATTAGCAACATTCATTACTTGTCAGTCAAAGGTGTAAGAAGTAGCCGAGGGGTATTTCCCAAATACTCATAAAAGTCCTGAAACTGAGCATCACCAATAGTGCCAAAATGGTGTTTCTGGGCATCATCCCATCTATGGTGTAGATGTGACAGCCAAGCAAAACCTCATGAACTGGTGACTTAAAAAGCCATTGCAGAGTCATTATGCCTCGTAGGAGCTATTCTGATGAAAGCAATGAGACACATCACAAAGCTACAGCTGTCATCAGTAGGTTTCATACCTCATTCCTCAACATTTATGAGTGGTAACTACTAGAATCAATTATAAAAGATTAAATTCACCTTGAGGCATTGGTGATTTTATACAGATGGAAGTGTATCATAAGATCTTTGTAATAGAGCTATTATAGCAAAGTACATTACTATTTATTAAGCCCAAACCCTTACAAACCATGAAGTCTTCACATTGAAATGGATGTTGCCTTTACCAGATCAAGTCTAGTTTTGCTTCTTCAGTTTCTTTTTGGCTTGATGCCATCTTGGAAATCCACTTTGTTCCATTTTATAGTTTTCAAATCTGTGTGTCTTCAATGTTTCCATTTAAATAGCAGCCAACAGCATGTCAGAAGGTGTAAGCTGTAACACTAACTTACAGGATGTGACTGGGACATATCCCTGAGGCCATGAGAACCCCTGACCAAATTTTCATGCACTATTTTAAACTGAAACTGTAATAAATAAAATCTCTGGCAAAAAATAAAGTTGTTGGAGCCTCTCACCCTGTAGTGAAACTTGCTAGAAAAATACTGGAGGGAGGCACTGTTCTCACATGCTTTCTTGGGTACAAAAGCATTGAAAAGAAATCTGAGGCTCAGGAGGTCAAAAGAGAAATGAGAATTATTTCATATTTCAATCCCTATCTAGTGAAACCTTGTGTGCATTCAAACTGGTACCATGTGACAGCCACCTTAGTTGTTGTATCTTAGTTATACTTGGAGAGAACATTTTGATTTAAGCATGCATTCAATACTGTATATGTATGCACCTATAGTCACCACAGGAAAAGAGTATCTTGTTGTAGAAATTCACGTATATGCCTCCAAAAGGAAAGAAAACACACTGTGAAAGACTGAAGATGGAATAATTAAGACATAATAAAAACCTTAGAATTCTTAAGGATCGTCTGCACTCCATTTAATAACCTCAAATTTAGAGGAAATACCTTGCTGCTCACTGGCCTGTAATTTCACCGAGCTTCCTATTTTTTCTATAGCAAATAATGATGATGTACTAATGCAATTATAAGGGATACACCAGTAGCAGCATTTTGTATGAAATTGCCTAGTATCCCAAAATATTACAGACCTTTTTCTAAAAAAAAAACCACCAAAACTCCACTTCTCTATTGCGGAGGTCCAGATGGTCATTCCTAGCCCACAGATCCAGTCCAGAAGTCCTCAGCACAGATATCATCCAGGAAGGAAGAAGTGACAGCGCTGCACTGCATCACAGCATCACATAGAGTTTAATTGTACATCAGTCTGTCCTTCACAGAAGCTAGAAGATATTTTTAAAAAGACACTGGATAAGCAAGCCCAGGAGTTGGATACCCTGGAAATAATATAGCACATCAGTAAGCATTTACTAAACAAAATAACTGCCTGCCTGCCACCAAAAGAAAAATGACCAAACAAAGCAAGACCTTAAACAAACCAAAAAAAAGAACAATCCCCCGACACACAAAAAAAACACACAAGAATCAATAACACAAATACTCACTGCATAAAATCATACTACCTGTTTTATCATCATACTTAATTGTCATTAGTGGAAGTCTGACAACACTTCTTTTGACCTTTTAAAAAATAACTTCTTGTTCTGTAGCCAAATGTTCTGTATTTTGAACTGTACACTGTGTGAAAGCATTTCTTTTGTTTAAGCCTGCTGCCCAATAGTTTCAGGTAACACCTATTAGTGCTTGTATTGTGAGAAACAGTGAACAAAGATTAACCTTTGTTCACATTCTCTATTAGAGGGATACATTTTAGGTAACTCTCAAGATAGATAAAGCTTAGATAACTCCTTCCCTTCCTTATGAGCCTCCTTCCCATGTTGCATATCCACTGGACAGATTCTCTAGGTTGGGAAAGAAAAACTGAACTACTTAAAGTTTTCACAGAAAGAAACAATGCTCATACCAGAACAGAAGAAGAATTCACATATCAGAAGTTACCCTTCTGAAGCAGGTCTAACTTAAATAGTGGTTTGTCACAAACAAAACCAACAGTTTCCGCTTCCTTACACAAATGCATGGATTTAACGTTTGTATATGTGGTGCTTGTATACTCTGTTCTTGCTACGCTAATGTGGTTGAACTCTGTCAGTATCTTTGCTTTTATCTTTCATCTCAGTTCAGAGTGGACCCATGGAAAATCCAGTAATCAAGATGTGATAAAAACACCCATGAAATAACAGAAATGACATATTTCTTTACTTCCCCAGTATATAGTAATGGCATCTGATTTACTGTTGGGTTGAAAATCTTATGTCTTTTCATGAGATCATTTTCACACGGTGTAGATTTTCACTGAATTAAACAAAAAGAAGATATCCACATGTGTTTCTTGTGATAATCCTTCAGGGCTAACCCAAGCCCTCTTCCAGTCTAGAGAATGCCATTTCTACATCTGAAACCCACCAGATTTGTGAACCCATAAGTTCAACCTAGGCTGAGTAGCCAAAAACCCAGTATTCTCTGTGCTTTCCTTCATAGGTCTCCATGATGTAGAGACACA